TCCAGGGGGCGGCGGCGAGCTGCTCTTCTGTTCAGTGAGTGTCAGCTGACTCTAGTGTCTGCACTGATAAGCATGCTTCTCTCAGAGATCTTGTCTTGTTTCTAGTCAGGATATATAACTATTCCTAAATCAAGAAGCACTTCCAGACAAGAGAACCGATGTTCAGAGCAACGAGTCAAAGTTAAAGTGAGAAAAGTCATAATATTTCACACCCAAAATAACTATGTTGGACTTCCTTCACTGGCAGAATATTCAGATTGCTTTAAAGCTTCTTGATGTCAGAGTCTTTAGATATTTGGACTAGAAACAAGACGATCTGAGCTAGAGAAGCATGTTCTGCAGTGTTCCCCGTGGACATTAACCCTGTGTTGAGGATCATCTTCTGCTCTCCAGCTCAGTCTGACCTGTTATTCTTACTTAATGACTGTTCTTACTATAACTTCAGCTGCTGATGCTGGAGTGTAAGAAGCGATTCTCCTTTGAGTGTTTTCATCAGTCGGCCATATTGGAGAGCAGAGCGTAAGCAAAGCCACTGAACCGAGTGTAACTGGCGTGTTTAGCTGATCACTGCTGCTGGAAATCATCTCTGATTAGGATGTATTGGGACGTACTAATCAGCCAGAGCAGAACAGTCAGAGTGAGAACTGGACTTTATGCAGAGTAAATGTATGAACCCCACACACAGTTTACATCTTTGTTTTATTTCTGCCCCAAACGATCTGAATCTAAAATCAGTTAAACGAAGAGTGAGAGTCGAGAGGTGTTCTGGGTCTTACCATCATCCTCACAGTCCTCCAGGGGTTTGGGCGGTTTGTCCTGACAGCGAGGGTCTATCCATGAGGTGGTCTTTGTGTTGTGGCTGTAAACAACAGCATCATGCACATCAATATTCACATGCAGTCAAAACCACCACGTACAGCAAGAACACTGAGCCAGGGCTGGAGGTGTTGTGCAGGAGTTTCAGGGTGTTGTGCAGGAGTTTCAGGGTGTTGTAGAGTTGTTGTGCATGTGTTGTGTTGTTGTTGTGTAGATACTGTTTGTGTATATGTGCATGTGTGTGTATGTACTCTATGAAGTAGATCTCCCCGTTCTCGGTGTAGGCCATCTCCCAGTGGTCGGGCATGGGTCCGAGCGGGTCCTGCTCCGCCGGGTGTTTGTTGATGGGCGACGACGCCGCCGCCGCCGCCGCCGCCGCCGCCATGCTGTTGTTCAGTGTGTATGTGGGAGCAGCATTCTCTCTGAGTGCGCCGCGGCTGCAGTCTCCTGTACACAGCAGGGGGGGGAACATACTAGCAGCTAAGAATCCTGGGTAATGTACAGGAGCAGGTGGGAGGAGACAAACACACTCTTTATGACCCCATACAAGAGAACTGACAAGAACGCACACACACACATACACACAGTCACGCACACACACACTGCATCTGGGCCTGATGTTGGCACTGTTGTGAAGTCCATTACTAAAGAATGATCTACCGACACACACGAACGCCAGGAAAGCAGAGCCGCTTCAGAAGATGCCAGTCTTAGAAGAATCCTTCACTGATGAACTGACGAGATCAGAAACATCTGAAGTTTCGAATAAGTCCAAACACTGAATTATTACACACTCACACAGGTCAGAGCTTTACACATATAAGAGTAGAGCTTTACTGTGCTTTACTGTAATGGAGTTCAATTAACTGAAAGTCAGTCATTCCGTCAAGCTTCACTGCTCTCGTCTGAGTTTCTCTCTCGGCTTGTGGACGGTTGGCAGTCTAACACTGGACGTTCCAGCTGGAGTCAATGATGACAGAATCTCCGTGTTTGATCGATACTGTCGCTTTTACATCTCACTCTTCATGCCAGTAAACGCAGCTACAGCCAGCACAGGATTATGGAGACGTGGGTCATTTCATCCACCTGAGAGACGAACTTAACTTCAGTAAAGGCACATCTCTATTCCAGAGCGTAGTGGCGGAGCAGACATCAGACGTAAAGCCTCACTCAGGCATCAGGAGTCCAGCAGAGTCAGGCTTCAGTGAGCCAGAGCCACCGGGAATACTAATAGAGCGGCTGGGGCCAAACACACACACACACACGCACACACACACACACACGCACACACACACACACACTGCTATACAAACACACACCAAACACAGTCCAGATCAAGAGCAGCGTCACGGGATCAACATTACTGACACTGACTGTTGGTATTTTGCAGAAACACATGCACAGCCCTGTGTGAGGCGAGTTACTGATAAGAACAGATCATATGACTAAATAAAAACATCTCACACACACACACACACACACACACACACACACACACCTGTAAACGTGTTGTTCATGTCTGCATCCTCCTGCAGCTCGCTCTGCTCTACTCCTGCATTCTGCATGTGTTCACGGGACTTCTGGGAAGCAGAGGAGGGGTCCTGCAGAGCATCATGGGTAATCACTGTCCTGCTGAGAGCCTGCTTGGGTGGTTTGGGTGTCCCATAATAGTTACCTAGGCAACCAGAAACCCATTAACACGCATGAAAAGAGAGCGGGACAGAGAGCGCTGACGTGTGTGTGTGAGAGAGAGAGAGAGAGTGACACAAATACACACACACACACACACACACACACACACACAGGCTTGGTGTCGGGAGCACATTGCACAGCCCTCTGCTGATTTAGATGTAAATGATTTTGTCTGGGTGTTTTCTACAGTTTCCCACCTGTAGTCTCAGATCGAGGTGAACATCTCCATCGTGTCAGCAGTGGAGGATCACTCCAGAGTTTGATGTGATTTATTTTTTCATTTGTCGACTCTGACTGCAGTTCGACACGTTCACTTTCATTCATGCCCCCGTGACAAACTCAGAGATGTTGGAAGTGCGTGCTGGAAGAGTTGGATTACGCTCTCTGAATGGAAGGAAAACTCTTCATATGGTGACGCGGGTGTCTGTGGTCCTTTAAGGTCATCTCTGTTTCCTCTAATTCAGAGTATTGTCTTAATCATATTAAAATCTGAGTATTGGTGTTCATGTAGACACGCTCAGTGAAAGAGCCAGACGTAGCTGCAGTGGTCAGACACAGGACAGCTAACACCAGCGACGCTGTCCGTATCCCTCAAAACTGTCAAGAACGAAATGTTCAGAGAAGGTGTGACACAACGCGTACCTATGTGGGCCTCTAATGTACCCCTTGATGCCTCTTACATCCTTATCGCAGCTCCAGTGGCACCGAATATCATTCATCATCATTCATCATCATTTCATTAACTAACCCACTGTCCTTCACCAATGTTATACTGATATACGGCTGACTGAGAGCTCAGGATTCTGTGTTGATAAAGATCTCACACACTTACAAACACGAGTTCATGTGTGTGTGTGTGTGTGTGTGTGTGTGTGTGTGTGTGTGTGTGTTTTGTACCATCGTATGTTCCTATCTCTAACAGTTCTCCGCAGCGCTCCAGCTCCAGAAAATCCTCCAGTGACAGAAAGCTGTAGTGCACACCATCAAGCTCTCCGCCTCGAGGACCACGGGTTGTACCTGCCGGACACACACACACACACACACACACACAGTCAGGAGTCAGGATATTTGAAGAGGAGAACAAGAGGAGAAGAAAAACAATAGAGACACACACCAGTGACACACACACACACAGACACACACACACACACACACAGACACACACACACACACACACACAGACACACACACACACACACACACACACAGCAGTGCCACACAGACACACTGTCAACACAAATGAGTTTGAGTAGATGCTCTGTGCTCACGCATCAGGATCTCCACAGACACTGCACTGAGCTGGAGGAGAAACACTGGAACAGACACATGGACAGACTTTACCAGACACACTAAAACAAACAACTCACAAACCACAGACGCACAAACTGTAGCTGACAGAGAGACTATATCAGACAGACAGGTGCAATGATGGAAGAACACAGAGTATCAGGACACACCACTATACTGGAGTATCAGGACACATCACTATACTGGAGTATCAGGACACATCACTATACTGGAGTATCAGGACACATCACTATACTGGAGTATCAGGACACATCACTATACTGGAGTATCAGGACACACCACTATACTGGAGTATCAGGACACATCACTATACTGGAGTATCAGGACACATCACTATACTGGAGTATCAGGACACATCACTATACTGGAGTATCAGGACACACCACTATACTGGAGCATCAGGACACATCACTATACTGGAGTATCAGGACACATCACTATACTGGAGTATCAGGACACATCACTATACTGGAGTATCAGGACACATCACTATACTGGAGTATCAGGACACATCACTATACTGGAGTATCAGGACACATCACTATACTGGAGCATTATCAGGACACATCACTATACTGGAGTATCAGGACACATCACTATACTGGAGTATCAGGACACATCACTATACTGGAGTATCAGGACACATCACTATACTGGAGCATTATCAGGACACATCACTATACTGGAGTATCAGGACACATCACTATACTGGAGTATCAGGACACACCACTATACTGGAGCATCAGGACACATCACTATACTGGAGTATCAGGACACATCACTATACTGGAGTATCAGGACACACCACTATACTGGAGCATCAGGACACATCACTATACTGGAGTATCAGGACACACCACTATACTGGAGTATCAGGACACATCACTATACTGGAGCATTAGGACACATCACTATACTGGAGTATCAGGACACATCACTATACTGGAGTATCAGGACACATCACTATACTGGAGTATCAGGACACATCACTATACTGGAGTATCAGGACACATCACTATACTGGAGCATTAGGACACATCACTATACTGGAGTATCAGGACACATCACTATACTGGAGCATTAGGACACATCACTATACTGGAGCATCAGGACACATCACTATACTGGAGTATCAGGACACATCACTATACTGGAGCATCAGGACACATCACTATACTGGAGCATCAGGACACATCACTATACTGGGGCAAAGCCACAAAGTTGAATGGCTGCTTCTCATCGTCTTTCTTTCCTCTGTCCTGTGATGCAGAAATAAATTGCACCTTTCCTACACTGAGTTGTTTCTGCCGGTCAGATGAGTTAGAGGATGATGATGATGATGACGATGATGATGAAGAGATGAAGATGACAGAGGAATCAGTGCAGCACCACATCCAGAACACATGCAAACGCTCTCTAACAGCACTGCCGCAGCTGAATTAATAATCAGTGTCACATATTTCAACACGCTTTATCAACATGAATTATGAATCTCCTTAATTATAGCTCAGTGTGTTTCTCCAGCATGAGCTGCTGAAGCCTGGAGGACGGAGCAAGACTGAGCTCAGTTCAGAGGCCGGAGGTGCTGAGAGAGTACATCAATGACATATGCAAACGTGTGTGTGTGTGTGTGTGTGTGTGTGTGTGTGTGTGTGTGTGTGTATGTATGTGTGTGTGTGTGTGTGTGTGTGTGTGTGTGTGTGTCTGTGTGTGTATGTGTGTGCGTGCGCGTGTGTTTGTGTGTGTGTCAGTGATGATGATGTTGGTGTCAGTGACTGATATCTGATATGTGAGAGCTGTGTCTGCCTGCTGTCGCTCTCATTGTCTGTGCAAACACAGCTGAACATCTGCCACTGTTAACCCTGTCAGTGTGTGTGTGTAAGAGATTTGTCTAGCCAATCAGATTCATTCTTGTTGGCTGAGTTGAATGCATTAGCCAATCAAAGGGACTCAGTACAGCAGAGTGTGTTCAGCTTTAGCTCTACACACACATCAGTCCATCCACTACAAACCCGCCACAAACACCATGCAAACAACAGACTCAGTGTGCTTCTGTAGAGAACGAGCAGAACAAAACACACAAAATCCAGAAGAGCAGAACACAACACACACAGCTAAACACACACACACACACACACACACACACACACACACACACACACACACACACAGCTAAACACACACAGACACATCGGTCCTCCACCGTCTGAATAAACCAATCTGTTTATCATGGACAACATTTGTACAATTTGTACAATCTGTTCTAGCTAAGGTAAAAAAATAAATAAATGGATATATTTTAACATATATTTTCGAATATATATATATATATATACACTCACCGGCCACTTTATTAGGTACATCTGTCCAACTGCTCATTAACGCAAATTGCTAATCAGCCTGGATTTATGCATGTAGACATGGTCAAGATGATCTGCTGCAGTTCAGAGTGAGCATCAGAATGGGGGAGAAAGGGGATTTAAGAGACTTTGACGTGGTTGTTGCTGCCAGACGGGCTGCTCTGAGTATTTCAGAAACTGCTGATCTACTGGGATTATCACGCACAACCATCTCTAGGGTTTACAGAGAATGCTCCGACAAAGAGGAAATATCCAGTGAGCGGCAGTTCTGTGGGTGCAAATGCCTTGTTGATGAGGCCAGAGGTCAGAGGAGAATGGTCAGACTGGTTCCAGCTGATAGAAAGGCAACAGTAACTCAAATAAGCACTCGTTACAACCGAGCTCTGCAGAAGAGCATCTCTGAACACACAACACGTCCAACCTTGAGGCGGATGGGCTACAGCAGCAGAAGAGCATTTCATTTATTTTTTGCACAAGTTTTTAACGTTGAAAAATCTT